AAGAGTGTCTAAAATGAGAACGATCCACGGAGCATGACATGAAGAGTGTCTAAAATGAGAAAGATCCACGGTGCGTGACAATGAATTAAGAGTGTCTAAAATGAGAAAGATCCACAGTGTGTGACATAATGAATCAAAAGTGTCAAAAATGAGAAAGATACATGGTGTGTGACAATGAATTAAGTGTCTAAAATGAGAAAGATCCACGGTGTGTGACATAATGAATGAAGAGTGTCTAAAATGATAAAGATCCACAGTGTGTGACATAATGAATCAAAAGTGTCTAAAATGAGAAAGATCCACGGTGTGTGACAATGAATTAAGTGTCTAAAATGAGAAAGATCCACGGTGTGTGACAAAATGAATCAAGTGTCTAAAATGAGAAAGATCCACGGTGTGTGACAAAGAATTAAGTGTGTCTAAAATGAGAAAGATCCACAGTGTGTGACATAATGAATGAAGAGTGTCTAAAATGAGAAAGATCCACGGTGTGTGACATAATGAATGAAGAGTGTCTAAAATGAGAAAGATCCACAGTGTGTGACATAATGAATGAAGAGTGTCTAAAATGAGAAAGATCCACGGTGCGTGACAATGAATTAAGAGTGTCTAAAATGAGAAAGATCCACGGTGTGTGACATAATGAATGAAGAGTGTATAAAATGAGAAAGATCCACAGTGTGTGACATAATGAATGAAGAGTGTCTAAAATGAGAAAGATCCACGGTGCGTGACAATGAATTAAGAGTGTCTAAAATGAGAAAGATCCACAGTGTGTGACATAATGAATCAAAAGTGTCAAAAATGAGAAAGATACATGGTGTGTGACAATGAATTAAGTGTCTAAAATGAGAAAGATCCACGGTGTGTGACAAAATGAATCAAGTGTCTAAAATGAGAAAGATCCACGGTGCGTGACAAAGAATTAAGTGTGTCTAAAATGAGAAAGATCCACGGTGCGTGGCATAATGAATCAAGAGTGTCTAACGTCTAAAGCTTGTCCTGTTGGACCTCACAGCCGCCTTTGACACCATCGACCATGAGATCCTCATTGCTAGGTTGGAGCAGTGGGTGGGCATCACAAGGTCAGCCCTCAATTGGTTCAGATCCTACCTCATTGACAGATCCTTTTGTGTCTCCATCAAGGAGTTTAGTTCTGCAGCGGCAGAGCTTAAATGGGGGGGTTCCGCAGGGGTCCATCCTGGGTCCCCTCCGATTCTTTTTATACCTACATGCCCTTCCACTTCTATGCCGATGACTGTCAAATTTACTTCCCCCTAAGACACAATGGTACATGCTCTATTCAACCTCTGCTCAACTGCCTGGCTGACATCAGGGACTGGATGGCTTTAAATTTCTTGAGTTTCAATGAAAAGAAGTCTGAAGTCATGTTGTTCCCTCCCAATGACACGATCACAAACCACTGCATCGACCTCTCCACTCTAACCCTGTCAGAAAAACAAAGAGTCACTAATCTGGGCGTGATAATGGACCCTTCCCTGAAACTTAACAATCATGTAAACATGATTGTTAAATCATGCTTCTTCCAGCTGAGGCGGCTGTCTAAACTGAAGCCCATATTGTCCAAAAAGAACCTGGAGACAGTAATACATGCATTCATTACATCTAGGCTTGATTACTGCAATTCACTCCTGTTTGGTATCAGTCAGACCTCCACTGCACGACTACAACTGGTCCAGAATGCAGCAGCCCCATTTTTAACCAGTACAGGCAAAAGAGAGCACATTACACCAGTTTTGGCCTCACTGCACTGGTTACCGGTTCACTTTCGAATCCAGTTCAAAATACTCCTGTATGTCTACAAATCACTGAACAGTGTCGCCCCCCCCCATCTCTCTGATCTGCTACAACCGTATGTCCCACCACGTTCCCTGAGGTCAGCGGACCAGTTGCTCCTCACAGTTCCAGGAACTCGTCTTAAGCGCAGAGGTGACAGGGCCTTCTCTGTAGCAGGACCAAGACTTTGGAACGAGTTACCTCTGCTTGTCAGACAGGCCCCCTCCCTCTCGTTTTCAAATCCCGTTTAAAAACCCACTACTATTCAGTATCTTTCAACACCAGATGATCTGTGTTTGATCCTGTATGCTCCACACCGGTTTGTCGTCATTATCTGCATCGTTTTTATGTCTATATTCTGATTTACCTCATTTTGCTGTGTGTTACCTGTTGTTCTGTCTGTACAGCACTTTGGTTGGCCTTGTCGCTGTTTTAAGTGCTTTATAAATAAAGTGGTATGGTATGGTGAGAAAGATCTACGGTGCGTGACATAATGAATCCAGAGTGTCTGAAGTGAGAAAGATCCACGGTGCGTGACATAATGAATCCAGAGTGTCTGAAGTGAGAAAGATCCACGGTGCGTGACGTAATGAATGGCTGAAACTGAGTCACGTCCACAAACTCAGCCTGAAGCCTGGCTGCCTGTAGGCTAGCTGCTGCTCACAGCTAGCAGCTAAGCTAAGTGAGGAGAAAGATCCAAATGTGTCCTGTCTTTATGAGTTTCTGTCTTTTTGTGCGTTTTTATGTGCTTTGAGTTTTAAGTTCTGTAAAACCTTGGACACACAGAGAGCTCCTCATCAGCACAACGTCAAGAAAACCAGACAAATCAACCAAGCTCGACTTGTGCGTCGACTGTTTCTGAACTCTGAGCTCAAGTGCATCGTGTGGACTTCTCATTTTATCTATTTCTCTTTTTGAAGGTGCCACAAGCAGCTGCTGATCCGAACAGGTTGTGTAATGTTCAGGGTGTGCTACACCTCTGAGGAAACAAAAATACAAGTTTCTACTATGGATACGATCGAAATCCATCAAAGATTACACAGCTTACTTTTAAAATAAATATGAAGCGATTAACTTGAGTTACATAACTGTGGCTCTTATAACTTGTTGTTTTTTCCCAGCATAAAAAGCCTAATCATTTGCAGTGCAACCCTGTGACCTAAAGGTTACAAGGGAACATTGACTAATGCAGCGGCTCTACTTCAACAAAATGTCGTGATGTGGATATTAAAGATGAATTACCAACAACACGAGGACTGATCAAACAGCCACTGAAGACCATGGCCCAAAGCAGCCCTGCAAGGCACAACATCCCACTCATTATTTATTCTGACAACAAAAAGAGTCACTTTAAAAATGAAACATGGTGGAAACAATCAACTTGTCTGAATAAACTTGAGTGGGCGCTGTGTTTGTGATTTCCTAGCTAGGCTTGGTTAGCTTTGTAGCTATGGTGGACTGAAAACATGGCTGGTTAGCTTTACATTTTTGTACATGTAGGTATAAATTACAAATTAGCACACATTTAAAGTACTCACCTAGAGAGGCATTCCAAACGTCAACAAACAATGCAAAATCATTTACAAAACTAAGTCCTTGGGGTACCCCACCATCAATTCCTCTTAGACCAGTAGGCCCGTAAATCCGCCGCGGAGTCTCCTGGATCCTTTGCCCGTACAAGTAGATCCCTTCAGAAGGCAAGAAAAAAAGTTCTCCGCATTTCCCCAAAAATGTCGAAAAGTTAAATTCCCTGTCCTGTTCAGGTGTACTACATCCATTGAGTGTTTATAATAAATCCCAGGTAAGTAAATCCAGTTACATTAGTGTCTTCTATATTTACAGCCACTGTTTATTATGGGCCATACGCCGCTGAATGTGATACAGGGCTCCGCTGCTGTCGTTCCCATCCCCCTCCGCGCCGGCTCCAACGCAGGCCTCAACGAAACTGACACACAATCACAGTACGGGGTTTCCCAGGTGACCGTGCAGGGGCGCCCTTCTTGGGCGGCCCTTATTCTGAGGTCCCGCCTCTCGTCACTGATTCGACAATAATGTGTCGTACACAGAAATCCTTGTAAGCCATTGGTTAATTGAAGTGGCAATTACTTGTTTCTGTTTGCTACGTAGAACAGGGCGATACTACTTTGACGGCGAGCGCACGAGTTCTACTCTGCTGAAAGAAGCGAGTGGTGGCGCGCGCTAACAAGAGCGAGACAGTGACTGGACTTTGGAGGCAATTTTACACCAAGGGATTTATATTTTCAGAGTTCCGGGAAATACTCGTTACCAAAATGTCCATGGAATTAATTTTAATTCAGTAGTGGGATTATTGCTTTTTATGTATGGGTAACGTTACTTTGTGTTGTACGGAAGGACCTTTTTATGCTATACACATAGGCGCTGTCCGGTCCAGTTTCAGGGCCGACAGGGGCAGGATTAGCCCGTGGCTCGCCCCACCTGCCGGGGTGTCACATGGAGAATATCTGGGGGGCTCCACAAGAACGTCACCGGCTCATTCGACTTACCCCGACCACAACATTTGACAAAAATTAAACGAGTGGGTTGTTAAAGACGGGAGCTGGCCGCGGACCAGAGTCCAGATAGATATTCACCAGGGTCCATGTTCAGTTTTGGATGTTTCCAACAGGCCGGCGAGGTGCTCTGAGCTTCGTCTCGGATCATAGAACCCTCCAGAACCGCACGTTTTGTTCCACAGGTACACGTGAACGAACTGTGATGACGTCAGCAGAACGTGACTGGTGCGATTGGCTCCTCTCACGTCATGTGACACGGACAGACATTTTGATTGGGCGGAATAAAAAAATGTCTACGTCACTTGTTGTGGTGGGGGTTTGTCGGTGAAATGGTGGTTGACCGGTTACACAAAGGATTACACAGTCCGGACCAAGTCTGCCTCTTGGCCTGAAGCAGATCTGGACAGGCTGAAACTTCCCGCAGCCTTAGTGGGTGGCCCAAGGTTTAGGGCTCTTGACCAAACCGGTTTTACAGTTCCTTTTGATATAAAGTTGAAATTGCGTCACCATCCTTTTGCTCGTGGCCATTATCTGCTGAAATGAAATGACGTCCAGATGAAGACAAGAACGTGTCGTGAAGCTTCCCAGGCGGACGACGTGGTTGACGGTGTTTCATAAGCACAGCTTGTAAACAGAGGGCCCCACTACACACAGCTCAGCAGCAACAGTAAAAACAACACTGCTCGGGTTGGTTCATTTTATTCACTGATCAGAAGCACCGACACGAAACAAGGATGAACAGAGAGCACGACTGGACTTCTAACAGAGCATGCACAACACGCTGGGTTGTTCTGCAGGAACACAACGTGACGTTCTACAAACGGACTCCTTCAGGCCGACTGGAACCGCGTCACGAGGAGAACGTGTGCAGAGGAGTCGGGCATGTTGAGTTTGGGAACGGATGATGACTCGTCAGTTCCCTACTCTGAGTGGGACTAGATAAAAAAGGGTTACACAACTGCCTTGTGTGAACAGCTCACACAGGTTGAACTGGAAACCAGCAGCGGAGTGGTTTTGGTGTTGGGGCATGTTCTCAAACATACTTGATGTAGATCACAGCCGAACAGAGCCTATGAGAATCATGCTGCTGTTGTCCGGTGCGTAGCTTAGTTTACATCTCAGATCCTTGTTTACCGTTTCTTTTTACACTTGACGTCTGGATGTAACGGAGCCTGGTACAGAATGTTGTTCCACCTCACGTAGAACATGTGGTGGAACGACAAGAACCAGTCTGAAGCTGGGGCCCAACGTGCTGCCACCTCCTGGATGCTGCACCCCTCACCCGGACGCAGCGGCCCCTCAGAGCAGCTTCAAACTGCCCGTGACGTTGTTCACCATCTCCTCCTCTCCCATGACAGCCAAGACGGTGCGAGAACTCGCCTCAACCTGCAAGAAATGGCAGACGTCTTCCACATCAAAGTAACAAAACCAAAATGGCAGCTAAACGTGGCACACACCCACCTGAGTGAGGCCTGCATCTTGGACCAGGTAAGTGGGCAGGTCAAGGCTCATGGCCAGGGCCTGCAGCTCCAACAGGTGGGCCACGTTGGTACCTTGAACCACCACCTTCTTGGCTCTGAAACAACATGAAGATCATTTAGGTTTTCATAACAACCACCAGGAGGCAGACAGACAACCCCTCTGCCGTGTTGGTCTGTTAATAAAACATCTTATGGGTGACTGGATGGAGTTCTGCAGAACTAACCCAGTGACCAGTGCATGTATTATTGGAGGTTTGAGTGAACCCAGTTCAGCATGACCAACACGCTGTGAGCACCACAGGTTGTGCTGCCTAATAACAGAAGAACATGTGGCTACCATCATGAGGAAACTCAGGACGCAGACGGTGAACGTACCCACTGTGGTCCCACTTCCAGGCCATCTCCCTCCAGCTGCTTTTCTCCTGTACAACCTGGTACAGACCCACAGCAGCATGGGCCACCTGGGCTGCCACCTACAGACACAGCAGAGCATGAGGTGCAGGTGGAGCCACGGACAATATGTTCACATGCATCGCTGACATGGAAGGCTTCAATTTAAACAGGGGTGGAGGCCTCCTGGTTCAACTGTCCCCCTCTTACAATGCTGTGATTGCTAGTATCACTCAGCCCTCTGTGAACAGTAAACAGCCATCAGGTGCTAATGATCCATTGTTAGGCTGATGGTCCTTCTTGAGCATGTGATCAGCTGGTTCTGGTTGTCAGCAGCAAACTGGTTGATCCACTCTGAGAAGGTGCTATTTAAGAGACTGAGCTGAATACAGCACCTCAGACTGACGAAGTCCTCAGGATGAGAGACGAAACGTTTCAACATTTTTTGTTGTTTTGCTTGGTTTTGTTTTTTTGAATGTCCAGAGGACCAGATTTAACTTTTTAGATTTTACTACCTGGATTATTAAGCATGCATCAGGATACATTATGGAAAACAATGACCTTTATCACAATATGCTAATTCTTTGAGAAGGACCTGTATATATATATATATATATATATAAATGGCTTCCTCTTTGCACTGTAGAGTTTCAGCCGGCAACGGCAGATGGCACGGTGGATTGTGTTCACTGACAATGCTTTCTGGAAATATTCCTGAGCCCATTCTGTTATTTCCTTGACAGTGGCATTCCTGTTTGAGGTGCAGTGACGTTTAAGGGCCTGGAGATCACGAGCATCCAGTAGAGTTTTACGGCCTTGACCCTTACGCACAGCGATTGTTCCAGATTCTCTGAATCTTTTGATGATGTTATGCACGGTTGATGATGATAACTTAAAAGTCTTTGCTATTTTACGCTGGGTAACACCATTCTGGTATTGCTGCACTATCTTTCTGCGCAACAATGGTGGAATTGGTGATCCTCTTACCATCTTGTCTTCTGAGAGACACTGACACTCTGAGAAGCTCTTTTTATACCCAATCATGTTGTCAATTGACCTAATTAGTGTTAATTGGTCTTACAGCGGGCAGCACGGTGGCGCAACTGGTAGAGCTGCTGCCTCTCAGCGAGCAGGTCCCTGGTTCAAACCCCGGTCCAGGGGCCCCTCTGGGTGGAGTTTGCATGTTCTCTCCGTGCATGCGTGGGTTTTCTCCGGGTACTCCGGTTTCCTCCCACAGACCAAAAACATGCATGTTAGGCTGATTGGTAACTCTAAATTGTCCCTAGGTGTGAGTGAGAGAGTGAATGGTTGTTTGTCTCTATGTGTCCCTGTGATGGACTTGCGACCCGTCCAGGGTGTACCCCGCCCCTCGCACAGTGATTGCTGGACATGGGCACCAGCGACCCCCGTGACCCAAAATGGAATAAACGGGTAAAGATAATGGATGGATGGATGGTCTTCCAGCTGTTCGTTATATGCTCAATTTCCTTTTTCCAGCCACTTATTGCTACTTGTTCCAACTTTTTTGGGATTTGTTGACACTGTGAAATTTTGAATCAACATATTTTTCTTTTAAAATGTTACATTTACTCAGATTAAACTTTTGATCTGTCATCTATGTTATATTACGAATAAAATATTGACATTTGCCATCTCCACATCATTGCATTCAGTTTTTATTCACAATTTGTTTAGTGTCCTAACCTTTTTGGAATCCGGTTTGTACATATATACATATATATACATACATATACATACATATACACATACATATATACACATATATATACACATATATACATTCATATATATATACATATATGGGGAGTGTTGGCGTAGAGGTTAGAGAGGTGGGCCTGTGATCCGAAGATCGCCGGTTCACGCCCCGACAACATCAAAATTGTGGGTGGGGTAGGTGAAACACTCACACTTGCCCCCACCATCATTCGCCCCACTCTGGGCCCATGAGCAAGGCCCTTAACCCCCACCATGTGCTCCCTAAACAGGTCTCTCTTGAAAATGAGTTCTCGTGGCTCAAAGAGACTAACCTGGATAAATAAAGGCTAAATGAAAAAAATATATAAACATATACACATACATATATACATATACACATGCATATACACATGCATATATATACATACACATATATACATACACATATATACATACACATATAGATATATACATATACATACATATACACATATATACATACATATATATATACGCATATATACATACATATACATGCATATATATACACATATATACATACATATATACATACATATACATACACATATATACATACATATATACATACATATACATACACATATATACATACATATATACACATATATACATAATTGCAAATGGCGAATGAAGAGTTGTGAAAATTGTCAAACAGCCAGTGACTCCGCCCACTGACCAATCAGTGACCGACAGCGTTGTGACGTCACAAATCAAGGTTGAATGACTCATAACTACATCACAGTGTGTAAAGATCCCCAGCCCCATTACTCATGTCTGCCTTTAACCCAGTAACCCTGGGGTTGTTCTCTGCTCAGTTATGCTCAGTTTCATACCCCACTACCAGCGTTTACTAGCCTTCCCATCAGTACCATTAAGGACTGATAATGAATTTGAATCATCACATGCCACACAGCTCCATCTAGAGTTACCTTTCCAACACCCATGCCAAGGTCCATGTTAACCACACACACCATTTTGAACCTGAGCTCCTCGCCCTCCTCCTCCTGTGTGTCAGAGCAAACACAAACACTGAGTTTTGGCTTTGGACCAGCTCTACCAGGTCTGACGTACCAACGTGTACCTGTGAAGGACTAAGGCTAGCTTATGGGCACCTCATTCTCCAGTTTGTTGAAGTAGTACATGGCCGCCTCTTCAGCAGAGACGTTCCGAGTGTGCACAAGTGCCTGTAGTGAAGAGAAGCATAAAAAAGGTCAGAAAGACAGAAGTCAGGCCTACTGGATGATGTGCATCCAGCATTTTAATAACCAACTAAATTACTAAGTAATCCCAAATTATGATGAAGATTTTAACATTTGGTCTGTTTTACATTCCTGAAACAGAGAAACCTGTGTGGAGCATCCCTAAAGCTTCTTATTGTGACCTTCTGTAGGTACTGTCATCTAGGGCTGGGCGATATGGACCAAAATTAATATCTCAATATTTTTTAAGATAAATCACGATATACAACATATATGTCGATATTCAAACATCTGCCAAGTTCATGGTAAAAACCAACACAGACATGTTCCTGTTTTTAATATTTTACATTGCTTTACAATGTAGCTGTTTTAGTTTTGTTTTTTAATATCATTTTCTTCCATTTACAGTGAGGAACATAAGTATTTGAACAGCCTGCAACTTTGCAAGTTCTCCCACTTATAAATGATGGAGGGTCTGAAATGTTCATCTAGCTGCATGTCCACTGAGAGACAGAATCTAAAAATAAAAATCTGGAAATCACAAAGTAAGCTTTTTTAATAATTTATTTGTGTGTTACTGCTGCAAATAAGTATTTGAACACCTGTGAACATCAATGTTAATATTTGGTACAGTGGTCTTTGTTTGCAGTTACAGAGGTCAAAGGTTTCCTGTAGTTCTTCACCAGGTTCACTGCAGCAGAGGTTTTGTCCCATTCCTCAACAGATCTTCTCTAGATCAACCAGGTTTCTGGGCTGTCACTGAGAAACAGAGTTTGAGCTCCCTCCAAAGGTTTTCTACAGGGTTCAGGTCTGGAGACTGGCTAGACCACTCCAGAACCTTGATCTGCTTCTTACGGAGCCACTCCTTGGTTCTCCTGGCTGTGAGCTTCAGGTCATTGTCATGTTGGAAGACCCAGCCACGACCCATCTTCAATGATCTGAGGGAAGGAGGTTGTTCCCCAGAATCTCCCAGTACATGGCCCCGGTCATCCTCTCCTTAATAGGGGTGCACCGATTGCAGTTTTCTGGCCAATCTCCAATCACCGATTTCTAAAAAGTCTGACCTGCCGATTCCAATTTTGTTTAATAAGTGACACTGTCAGGTGTTCTAAGGTCCCAATGCACCTTCAAATTTCCAATATTATTTTGTTAAACATGCCCTTGAACAATATCCTAGAAACAATACAAACTGGCCATGAGGTAGTGCTCTGAAATATAACTCAACTTCAGACAATTGTTGTTAAAACAAACAAACAAAAAAAGGGTAAAATCAGTTTCTCATGCAAGTATCGGCTGATTTCCCAAAATTAAGGAAATCGGCACCGATAAGTCGCCAGCCAATTGATCGGCGCACCCCTACTCCTTAATACAGTGCAGTCGTCCTGTCCCATGTGTAGTGATGGGCAGATGAGGCCTCACTGGGTGCACGGCACATCTCCCAAACTGTGTCGGCACTGTGTTGAAACTGTGTTGAAACTGTGTTGAACTGTGTTGAAACTGTGTTGAAACTGTGTTGAACTGTGTTGAACTGTGTTGAACTGTGTTGAA